CCATAATGCTCTCACCTGGCGTTTCCACCTTCCCGTGCCTTTCGGAGCTTTCATCAGAATCACGGCCGCTGCCCAGGTGGCTGCCACCGCGACACCGAGACGGCTCCATCTCTACCCCGAGGGCGCCCTCTCTTACGACTCTTAAACAAAGGTAAACACTCGGAGACACGGAAACACGAGTTCACAGATGAGCAAATATTTGTCGTCTCTGCATATGCACACTCCATCTCCCTTCGGGAGACACAGCAAAGCGCACGGGCTTGGTCTCGCGCGCCCTGGCACACACTCCGGCCCGGGGGCTCTTGTGACTCCGGTGGAATCCGTCCGATTCTCATCCAAGCCAGCGCAGGACGGCGGCTGACGCCTCCGCCGAGCTCAAACCGCCAGGGCCAGAAGCCTGGCTTGGCCTCCACCGAGCTGTGTGACCCCAGACAAATCAGGCAACTTCTCAGAACATCAGGACCGTCGCCTGGACAGGCAGATAAGGGCAGTACCTGCCACAGGGGCTGCTCTCAGGACGAAAGGCCACAACAGATGTGCTTAGACCAGTGCCCGGAAGAGACGCCGCTGACAGAAATGCGAGCTACACGACATTACAAAGGCCCTTCGGATCACACGGCGTGAAGAGTTAGACAGCAAATTTGACAGAGTCCCCCAGACTGCCGGCAGCCTGCAGGGCAAGGCCTCTGAGAGGAGCTCCGTCCACCCAGGCGCCCTCAGAGATGAGCCCTGTCTTTCCAACGAGCCTGGAATGGGGTGGCCCCTCCGAGGACCAAGGAGAAGCTGGAAACCCGGTGTCGTCACAGGGAACCAAACACGTTCCGAGTCCACGGGAGGAAGAGCTGAAACAGGAAGACGAAACCGGGACCTCCTTGCAAGGCCTGGGGAAGGCGCCTGGGTGGCTCGGTCTGTTGGGCTGAGCGGTCTGCTTAGGCTCAGGTCATGATCCTGAAGTTCTGGGATCGAGCCCATGTCTGGCTCCTGGCTGAGAGGGGAGTCTGCTTTTCTACCCCTCCCCTGGCTCGTGCACTCTCTCCTGCTCACTCTCTCTCAAATAGATAAATAAAATCTTAAAAAAAAAAAGAAAAAAAAAATAACCGGGGCGCCTGGGTGGCTCAGTGGGTTAAAGCCTCTGCCTTCGGCTCAGGGCATGATCTCAGGGTCCTGGGATCGAGCCCCACATTGGGCTCTCTGCCCAGCAGGGGAGCCTGCTTCCTCCTCTCTCTCTGCCTGCCTCTCTGCCTGCTTGTGATCTCTGTGAAATAAATAAATAAAATCTTCAAATTAAAAAAAAAAAAAAACCAACCTGGGAAGATGGTCACTTTCGATGAATCCAACCACTGGAATAAAAAACTTTCAAAAACTGGAAACCGAGGCTAACTACGAGTCTAGTACCCAGACACACAGCCTTTCCTATTTAATTTTCTTTCCTGTTTCCTCAGGGTATGAACACAGATTCTCCACCCTGGAGGAAGCCTAGGGACAGGTGAGGGTAGGGGCAGCAGTGAAGGGAGAGCAGGTGGGCTGTGCCCTGGGCCCCTATACAACCAGAAAAATCCATCACCTGTCTGGACATCCTGGGGGCTTCATTCTAATCTGTAGATCAATCTCCAAAACAGGCCAATACTTACCAAGGCTCCGAAAACCCGACTTTCTAAAGCAATTAAAAGAAAATACCAACATGTCATTTATGTTCACAAAGGAAGCAAAACCACACTTTTGGTAAAACACAAAAAAGAACAGAGAAATAGCTCCAGGTTTCAACCCAGACACCGCACCCAGCCTGTGCCAGGTGCTGTTGCTCCAAATCCTTTCCGAGGGATGCCCCTTAAGGGTCCATGTCACCTGAGGTGGGCCGCTGGCCCCTGTGTGCTTTCGAGAAAGGGGCTGAGCCGGGAGCCCAGGCCAGCCACACGGGCTCCGGAGTCAGGGCTGTGAACGGGCGGCTCTTCCCCTGAGGTCTGGGGGCTGCCAGGCTCTAGGGCAGGTGGGGACGGTGCTGGAATCCTGGCACACCTGTCGGGTGAGGTCCAGTGAGCCCGTCATGCGGGTGCCTCCCACACCACGGGGTTACCCAGGTGGTCAGAGCTCCCCACCTGGAAGCCCAAAGCACTCAGGAGCAAAAGGGACACACAGACCTCAAGAGCGGGCAGGCGGGCACACTCGCGTGTTACTGTCGCCAGCCAAGAGTAGAAAAACTCTAGCGCAATGTTTCCAGTGGAAAGTCTGCTCCATACCTAGGGATCCCGGTGACCATCTCTGGTGTTGCCAGCAGCTCCCGCCCTGCTTGCTGGCCCGTGGGAAAAGACCCAGCGCCGCCGCGGCCTGCCTGCGGTGACATCAGAGCCCCTGGTGGGCAGAGCTGCTCCCTGAGCCTCCAGGCGGCAGGCAGTAAAGTGGGGTAATAACGCTCTGACCACGCGGAGGAAATGGCCAGTGTCTGTGGAGCCCCAGAAGAAAGCCTTGTAAAACTCGAGGCCTTTCATGTGTGTGTCTGCAAACCCCGGCTTCTTCCGCCCACCCCGGCTTGCTGCCAGGCGGAACGCGGACTGACAACCCGGCCCTGCGGGTTCCCGGAGCACAGCTGGGGCAGGAGGGGGCGCGTCCCGCCCAGGCACCAGCTAAGGGAAACGGGTGGGGCGGGCCGCCAGGGGACCCCGGCAGAGCCCCAGGAAGATGGGGAGGGGGTGGCCTGGGCACAGCCCGGAGCCAAGTGGGGTCCCGGCGAAACGCGGACAGCGCAGGCCCAGGCCGGGGGTCGCGGGGTGGCTCAACGCCCGCCAGGCCGCCCCGGAGACCCGCCGATCCACAAGCCCGGGGTGGTCCCCTGCCCGCCCCGGGGACCCACCACCCCCAGATCCAGGGTCACTGCATGCTGACCCCGGGGACCCGCCGGCCCCCCAGGACCTCGGTCACGGCCCGCACGGCCGAGACCCGCCGACCCCTGGGCCGGGGGTCATCCTTCGCCCGCCCTGGGCACACGCCGAATCCCCAGGCCCGGGGCTGTCCTGCCTGCCCCGCCGCGCGCACTCACCCTGCTCCCCAGAGGAACCTGACATCTTAGAATTCCCAAAACAGCAGCCGCGGCGCCAGCTTCCCAGAATCTGATGCAACCACCGCCCCGGAAGTCCCGCCCCGCGCCCAGCCCGACTTCCGGGGCCCGCCCGGTCGCCAGGCAACCACCTCGGACTCTAGACGCCGCCGCCTCGGGGAATGCTGGGAGTTGTAGTTGTCGCTGCCCCGCGCGCGGCCTCCTGGAGCATCCCTGGGGCACCCATTCCAGGTCCTGACCTAAGAGACGGAGGACCAGCGCGGGCGCGGGCCTCGGTGCGGGCGTGGGTGTGGGTGTGTGTGGGGGATGTTGCACTTCTGCCTCGCTAGACAGGCATTAAAAGCACCGCTCATGGGGCGCCTGCGTGGCTCAGCGGGTTAAGCCTCTGCCTTCAGCCCGGGTCATGATCTCAGGGTCCTGGGATCAAGCCCCGCATCGGGCTCTCTGCTCCGCAGGGAGCCTGCTTCCTCCTCTCTCTGCCTGCCGTTCTGCCTACTTGTGATCTCTGTCAAATACATAAAATCTTTACAAAAAAAGCAAACACAGCTCATGCATGCCTGCTTAAGTTAGCACTGCACAAAGGGGCATGGGGACAGGCCCCAAGCGCCCCAGCCCGCCCGTCAGACGGGGCCCCCCAGAGACAGGAATGGGCTGGCCTGGAGAAGGCCTAGTTGGAAGTAAGCTTAGAGGATGGGACTGGGGATGCCTGGAGTGCACTCCAGGGCGCGTGCGTCCCAGCAGACGGCCCCAGCAGAAAGCAAACCCCTGAGAGCTTCATGTGGGTGCAGGCCATGCTGGAGCAGGCCTGGTGTCATGGAGCCCGAGGTGGAGCCAGGGCTCGACCTTTTAGAAGCATCTTGTAAGCAGAGTCAAGAGGGGTTCCGACAGGACGGCGCGGGGCTGGATTTGTGCTTTAGAACGACCCCAGTGCCCGGTGGTGGCAGAATGGACTGAGGAGACCCAGAGGAAAGCAAGATTGAAGACTTTCAGCCTAGAGGAGAATAAATGGCCCCCTTAGTGGGGCGAGCCCAGAGTCCGGGGAGAGCCCCAGGAAGCGGCAAACCCAGGTATGTGGCTGGGACACAGGGGGATGAGGGAGTGGGTGGTGACCCACCTCTGAGATGGCTGAGCGGGTGTGGCACTGACTTTCACAGGGAGTTGAAGAGGCTGGGAGCCGGAAGGAAAGACAGACGCATCTGTGCGTGACCCCGGGGACCGGTGATGTTCGGGGTGAGGAGGCAGGGTGGAGCTCACATTCTGAGGCCATGGGAGGACAGCACGGTCATTTCCAGACACAGACACCCTGGGGAACACCAGGCACCCGAAGAGGCTCCTCCAGCCTCCAATCCTCAGTCCAGAGCCCCTCCCTCTAGCAAATTACAGCCTCCGGGTCCGTGTGTTCTGCTGGGCAGGAAGCCCCCCCCAAGGGCGTCACAGCCAGGTTGTGTGTTGTGTGCCTACCAGAAAGGAAGCAAGTGTGACTTAAAATATAAATCTTATTAGGTAAAGGTTAATTTTTAACTTCAGGAGTCTCGCAGTGGCTCAGTTGGAAAGCACCTGGCTCTGCACTGACCGGGAATCTGCCTGGGATTGCATCCCCTCCCCCTCCCCCCCCCCCCCGGCCCTCTCCCTGCTCACACACAAGCGCTCTCTAAGCTAAATAAACTATACCTTTAAAAAAAAACAAGATGGGACTGGGGAGAAAGACAAACCTTAAGACCCTTTATCTCAGGAAACAAACTGAGGGCTGCTGGAGGGGAGGTGGGGAGGGATGGTGTGGCTGGGGGATGGACACTGGGGAGGGTATGTGCTATGGTGAATGCTGTGAATTATGTAAGACTGACGATTCACAAAACTGCACCCCTGAAGCAAATAATACATTATATGTTAATAAACTTTAAAAAATTCATTAAAAACTTAAAAAAGTGACTGAAAGAAAAAATACTATAAATACACAAAACAATTTAATGCTATAAACATTACCACTACTTCTGCTATATACACCGTAAGGTCAAACCATGATTTTTATAATTGAATCTAACCATACATACTTAGAAATAAAACCCCCAACAACTACGTAGAGGATGCCTGTCACTGAGTTGCTAATACTCAGGCTTATACTGAGGAACCTCAGTCACACTCACACCACCTTCTAGGTCACAGGGACATCCCAGATCTGAGACCCAAGAGCTGATCAGGGCAGAAAACTCTAGCCCCAGTGTCTGGGGAAAGGGCTGCAGACGGAGGGTGCCGTCCGTGGCTCCCCGGCCACCCAGCTCAGGACTCGCTGAACCATCAGACCCTGCGCAAATCCAGCACCTCAGCCACAGGCAGTCCCCACAGCTAGTCTTGTCAGACAGGAAGCACTCTCGCTGGGATACAGACCTGACCTCCCCATTGCAAACAATCTACTAGAAAGTGCGGACCGTTCCGTCACGAACTCAAGAAGTTTCCAGTAAGATACAAACTGGGAACGGAGGTCAGATCACACCCATTCAGGATCCCGGTTACAGGCATAACCCGAGCCCGAAGTTTAATCAGAGGTCTCCGCACGTCTGCCCAAGAGTCCTTCGTCGAGTAACCAGTTTATGATATTTTCCAAATACATCCGCAGTTGCATCTTATGGAGCGCCGCGAGCAGGCTGAACACAGAGGCGCCCTTCCCCGTGCCGTTCCTCCACACACGCAGCATCTGGTGGTGCTGCTCCATCACGTCGCTGGGGTACTGGCTCTCACAGTTGTCGATGTCACTGTCCTCTAGTCCGAGGAACCTCATGAATGGTTTCCAGTCTTTATCAGAGATGCTTCTTTCAAACTTATAGTAGATCCGGGCTGAAAAAAGTAAAAACTAAGGGGAGGACCGTTGACACGGCTGGGGGGCCATGTGGCACCTGCTGGGGCCTGCTCAACGATGACTCTAAGAAGGATCCCCTCCCCCGCTCACTTCTCCTGAAAAGCATGAACGCTTCCTCCCATCGAAACGGTATTCAAGGTCCATGAAGCCCACACAACCCTTGTTTGACAAACGCTGTTCCCCTCATGTCCCTCTGAAGAGGGAACACGTGCATCTCAGGTGGAGAGATGGTCCCCGCGGCGTCACGCAGGCAGGCGGCCCGCTCTGGGAAACAAGGACGCCAGGCCTTGACATTCAGGCCAGACAAGAGGGAGACTTCCCAGTCCCTAGAAAAGAGGGGTTCAGATTACGTACCTTCACGGGACAGGTCCCTCACAAAATACTTAGCTTCATATTCCTACAGAGAGAAGAAACAGGTTGTTCCAGGAGGAGAAGGAAGGCGTGAGGCTGAAGCAGAAGCGCGGTCAGGACTGCGAGAGCAGTGGGTGCAGACAGGGGAGCCTCGGGGGATGCAAGAAGGTGTTTGGGGAAACCCCATGTGGGCCCGAGCTCACAGCCCTGGCGTGTGCTCCAGGTCTAGCCCCCCCAGGTCACACCCGCGGCCCAGAGCCGGCCCCGTGGACCCGGCTCCAGTGGGTGGGCAGGTACAGCTGAACTGTATCACTTCGGGGTGACCTGCTCTGCTCCAGGGAGTACGAGCAGACAGCACAGCATGCCTGTCCCCAGGAAGGCCCCGTGAAGGGCCAGGGGGGACTGCAAAGATGAGCCAGCGGAGGACAACGCCAGCGCGGAGTGCCCGTGAGCAGCAGCCCTGCCGCCCGTGGTTCCTGCGCACAAGGTTAGACCCCTGTCCTTGTCAGGCCGCCCGCTGTGGGCCCGAGGGCCGCACCTTCAGACCCTGGCTCTGCCTCAGCCCATACAGCTGGACCTGCACAGAACTCTCCACTCTGGGCAGGTGCTCTCGAGGCAGGGCTGAGAGGGCCCCCTGGGGCTCCCGCTGAGACGGGCATGGGTCCCGACTTCCACCCTGACCATCTCAGAGCCAGCGGAGAATCTGGAGTCAGGGGCTCCCTCCCTGTAGTGATGTCCGTGGGCACTTGGCCCAGGAACCCAGTCTCCGCACTGGAGTTCCCGACCTCCCTGCCCACGCCAGGGGACCTCGCGGGCCATGGCCTGTGGAACAGGAGCTCTGCGATCTCCTCCCTGTCCCTCTACTCCCCACCTGTGCCCTGACCTCAGGATTCAGACATGGGGCCTGGCCAGTCTGCAGACCTGAGCTCTGTCCCTTGATGCACGTGCTGTCCTCTCTTCCCGAAGAGCCCTACTCCCCAGCACCACAGAGCGGGTGTCGGCTCCTCCAGTCAAACCGTCCACAGGGGTCACAAGGGGGACAGACTCCCGCAGCCCCGCTACGGAGCATGGGGACTGCTGCTCTTCCCTGGCGAGCCTGGCCCACAGCGTGCAGGGTGCTGTGTCCGCTCGCCCCTCCCTCTGAAGTCCCTGCTACACAGAGGCTGGGCCTGGCGCACAGGAGGTGCCAGCCGAGGGGTGTTGGGCCGACCTGAGACCCGCACGCGCTGCGGAGGCGATGGCGTCCACACCAGCCGGCTGGGCCTCCTCGGTCCCACTGTGTCCCAGCCACAGGACCCGGACAAGGATGCTCTGGGAGCCCCCGTGCCCACCGTGGTGTCACATCCCCTCCAGGAAGCAGGTGCAGGTGGCGCTCCTAGGCACTGAACTGTACCCCCAGACAGGGATGTCTAAACCTCTAACCAGGACTGTAGCTGGGAACAGGGTCGTGGTGAACGACAGAGGCCCAAGGGCGTGAGGGTCAGCCTCACTGCAGCCTGACTGGCGTCCTCAGGGAAAAGGGAAATCTGGACATGGACTCACACACAGGGAGACACCAGCGAGGACGGACCTAGATCTTGGGGTGACTCTTCCACAAGCCACCGAGCCGGGCAGTCGGCCACATGCCAGCTGCCGCTAGAGGAGAGGCCCGGCCCAGACAGTCTCTCACAGCCTGGGCAGCAGCACCCGAGTCCCCACGTCATTCCTGGACTCCCACCCCAGGACGGGGACACAATGCACACCCCTGGGGCCGCGGAAGCCGCCCTAGGAAAATCCCACGGGCACCAAGCAGCACGCACGTCGGCACCGACGGCGGAGCCTGCACGCGGGAGGAGCTCAGGATGCACAGGCGGCCCCGCGGACCCTCCCGGATGGTTCCGTACCTGCTCCAGGGTCCTGAGGGAGGGGGCCCCAGGGGCCATCGGGTCTGCACTCTGGAGCGCTTGCTGTGGCATCGCGGGGCTCCCCCCGACTGCCCCCTGCATCGGCTCCTCGGAGGGCGCTGGGCGGGGCGCGGCCGTGGGCGTCGAGGCTAAGCCCTCGTTCTCCAGCCTGGCCCCTGGCGAGGACGCTTCCATGTCAGCGGCTGGCTGCTCGTTCTCAGAATTCAAGGGCACCAGAGACTCACTGTGCCGAGGGCAAGTCTGTGGTCAAGGACAAGGTCGGACAAGGTCGTGTTACTTGGCCCCGGAACCTGCCCACATAGGCACTTCCCAAGCCCCGACACGGCGGGAAATTCCCGCAGCCTGAGGGCCGGCAGCAAGAGGGCGATTTTAGAGAACAGCTCACGGGGTGGGGCGAGCTTCCTGCTTGGCCAATGCCTGCGGGGGGTCAACACCCCCAGCCTGAGCCTGTTCGGTCTGAAGGGGCTCCCAAAGACAGAGGCCTATGTGGTCTTACCGCCTCCTCATGGGGACAGCCTGCGGCGACCCTGCCCGGCGAGGCTGGGTGCGCCGTATTCCCAACAGCCTCACTCACGTCTGTCTCTGGCTCACATTCCGGTAATTTTTGCCGAACCTCAGACTGTTCCCTGAGGACCCTGTTCAGTGACCCGTGCCACTTGCTGGCTGCTCAGGTGACAGGTAGCACTTAAGAGCAATAACATATCTTTTCCACGTAAGTAGACCCCACGCCCAGCATGCACCTCAGCGTGCGGCCTGAACTCGCGACCTGAGATGAAGACCTGAGCTGAGCGCGAGAGTCGTACGCTGAGCTGACTGAGCCACCTGGAGCCCCGAGCAATAAAGCATCTTTTTAAATTTTTTTAAAAAGATTTTATTCATCTGACACAGAAAGAGAGATCACAAGTAGGCAGATAGACAGGCAGAGAGGCAGGCAGTGGGGGAGGAAGCAGACTCTCCACTGAGCAGCGAGCCCGACGCGGGGCTCGATCCCAGGACCCCAAGATCATGACCTGAGCCGAAGGCAGAGGCTTAACCCACTGAGCCACGCAGGTGCCCCGCAATAAAGCATCTTTTGAGGAGGGCGTGCACACTGGGTTTGGGGACGGAACGCTCCCGTACACTTAGCAGTCTCCAGCGTGGTGCGAGCACAACTCTGGAACCCTCCAGGGAACCGAACAAGTCATCCATCTGGCCCTCTGTGCTTCCTGGCAGGGGTCTAGGACCACCCTGCAGCATCCCCGTGCTGTGCCCGTGGGTCCGCACCCTGAGCTCTACGCCAGCAAGCAGGACCTGACTACAGGAGGTCTCGCTGGACTGACGGGAGCCCTGCCGTAGGGAGTGACCGACCGCCATGGGGAGTGACCTCCAGGAGGCCGACTCAGGGACGCACGGACACAGCAAGAGAAGTAGACGCGCTGAGACATCAGCCCCACAACAACCTAGGTTCCCAGCCTGTCTGAAGAGGCGGGGGGGATGCTCACCGGAGCCCTGAAAGAGCCCCGCTCCCAAGTCCGGCCTGCAGATTGGAGGCAACAGGCTCTACCGCTTCGTGCTCCCCAGTGGCGCTGACCCGTTCCAGGAGCCCCCGGATGCTCACGCACAGCCCTCTGCCCCGCTGTCCCTCATTTCCACTCTGGCCTAGACCGGCAGAACGGAAGTCTCCGACTAGCACGTTCTGGGGATCCGCCGAGGTAGAAGCACACACGGCTGGAAAGCAGGGGCTCCCGTGCGCCACTGACTGCCCCCACCCCCCGGAATGTGTTATGGGGCCCTGCTGCCACCAAGGCCCAGTGCCATCGCTGGGGAACCCGAAGGGCTATACTTACAGTGCTGTCCGGCCCGCCTGCCCTTCCTGAAGACCAAGAAGAGGAGAAAGAGTCAGAACCGCTACCAACGGGGACAAGAACTTCTGCAAGGGAAGAAACTGCTCTGAATTTATGACAAAGTGTCCTTACCTCTCCAGAAGCTGATGAAGCACCACCGAGGCCACAAACCTGCGAGGGGGAATAGGACGTGAGCACAGAGAGTGAGAACAGGGGTGAGCACAGAGGGGAGCTCAGGAGGTGGGCACAGGAGGTGAGCGTCCCCGGTGCATGGCCCGCAGCCGGCTGCCCTGCCTCCCTCCAGGAGCCCCCAGGCTGACGCAACACCCGCCCCTCCCTGTGCCGGGTCCCATAGCCCCCGGACCCAGCGTCTCCAGCCAGCTGAGCGGAGACTCGCATCTTAAGCGCTGTGTGCCGGGAGCGGGCAGCAGAGCTCTGAGCTCAGACCCGAGAATGCGAAAATGAAGATGGCTCTGCTTTAACGGCAGAAGCCCCATCGGGGACGCCCAACCGCAGGTCCCTTCGGAGCCCTCCGATGCACCCGCCGCTCTGCCTTCTCCAGGTCTGGCCTGACGGTGACTCACCTTTCCTCTTACGGCAGTAAAGGAAGACGTAGAAGAGGACGATGGTGATGATGATGCAGAGAAAGATCCCGAGGACGACAATGACTATTTTGAACCCATGGACGGACACATCCTTGGGTGTTTGTTTCCCTGGAAGGAGACGGAACAGGGACGGGTGGAGCAGGGTCAGGCACGCGCTCCCCACTCACGAGACGAGCTACAGGAAGTTCCCGCTCCGGGAGGAAGGAATGTTCCTTCAGGGCCTCAAGCCCTGTCTCCCGCTGACCATGATCCTGAATGTGACGTCCCTCCTGGGAGGCAGGAGAGACTCATGCTTCCTGTGTCACAGACGAGGACCCGGGGCTCACAGGACGTGGGATCCTGCGCAGGCGGCTGGAGGTAGCAGGAGCTCTGCATGGCCAGACGAGCGGCGAGAGGTCCTGGTTTCCCAGGACGGGGCTCTGCCTCTGCACCTGCACCAGCTTGAGGCACAGGATGGTCAGTCCTGACGGCAGCAAGGCCCACCCACGGTGGCCCGAGGGACAGGGCAGGTCCACCCTGGGGGAAGAGCTGGCAGAACCACTCAGGTGCCCTGGTCTCTCGCTGGTGACACCACAGCACCAAAAGGACACAGGACACATGGGGCAGGGCAGGCCCGTTAGAGCCTGGATGGTCAGCCACCAGATGTCATCTGCATCGGCAGCCAGGGCTGCGAGGGAGGGCCGACGGGACAAGTCTTTCACGGGATGCCACCATTTGAGCCAAAGATTCTCTTTATGCTCTGCTTAGGCTGTTCCTAACTTGCTCTTGTATCTTTGGTGTTAAGAGATCCTTTAAAAGTGGAAGCTCCACGAGTCAGAACGTTCTGTGGGATCCACAAGCCGATGCTGCCACGTAAACGGACACCCCCGGACACTCCAATGTCCCAGGGCAGCCAGACGACCCAGAGGAAGAGCGAGGGGACCCTGTGCCTCTGACGTAAGGGCCTGCTGTGACGGTGGCCGTGGCCCAAGACGGGACAGGGATGCTCGCTGTCCAGCCAAGGGACACTGGATGTAGCGTCTTTGCAAAACACAATCCTGGGTCATGCGTATGTGCAGGTGGAAAAACACTCCGCACCCTGAGCTCCTACCCCACACCCTGCCAGGTTCACCGTAGCCCAATGTCTGCAAAGTGAAGCCATACAGAGTCCCTCGAGTGACTGGAGATTTCTCCCGCACGACACCCGCACCCTAACCCACAGGACACGGTGATAAACGGACACGGTGAAAGTGGAGGTCCTGCCTCCAAGATGCCCTCGAGCGCCAGATGAGAAGGCACCGCCGAGGACGGGATACGACACACGAAGGGGCCGTGCCCACATGCTGTACGCCAGCACCACCTCTACCTCTACAGATACAGCTGACCGTCCACCACCCAGTGTTCAAGGGCGAGGGCCCACGAGCGCGCGGACTGTTTTAGCGAGTGCAGTCCTGAACCGCCGGTGTGTGTGCTGGTCCTCACCACCTCCTCAGCACCTCGGTCTCTCTAGTGTACGCTACGGTAACAGCACAGCAAATGGGTACGTGTGACACATGACCCAGGAAACGACCAACCATCCGGGTCTTTGAGGAGGCTGCATTCTACAGGAGGCCCTTCGCAGTTAAGCTTTTGTGGGGAATCAAGGGGTCTCAGTGGATTTTCCACTATGTGGGGAATGGGCACCCCTCGACCCCACGTTGTTCAGGGGTCCGCTCTAACCATCAAAACCAAGAAGGAGGGGCACCGGCTCAGTGGGTTAAAGCCTCTGCCTTTGGCTCAGGTCATGATCTCAGGGTCCTGGGATCAAGCCCTGCATCGGGCTCTCTGCTCAGCGGGGAACCTGCTTCCTCCTCTCTCTCTCTCTGCCTCTCTGCCTACTTGTGAACTCTCTCTGTCAAATAAATAAATAAAATTCTTAAAAAAATTGCTATAAAGCTGTAATACGTAAAACAAATAAACAAAAAACACAACCAAGAAGGAACCAGCCTATGACTCAACTTCAAAGCAGCATGAGTCTCGCTCAGACACTGAGCACAAGAGGCCCAAAGGCTTGGGACCTCAGCTCACCTCCTGGCTTCTGCACACCTCAAAGCCTTGGGGCCCAGCTGAGCGCCCCTGAAGGCAGGGATCTGGTCTGGTTCGGGGTCCCACAAAGGCAGTCGGAAGAGGTGTTAATTGAGCAGGAGCAAACCCCAAGGCTCACGGAAGCCGGCCACTCCCCGCCCCTCCTTCCAGGAGCTTCCCTGGCCCACACACCCGGTGTGGGAGCCAAGCGATCTGCTTACTCAAGACCCAGGGCTGTGCACTGTGGCCCTTGGGCCAAACCCAAGCCACGGCCCATACCTGCACGTTTTCATGGCACCCAGGCCTACAAAGCCTAAACGTCCTACCTTTACAGGGAGGGTCGCCGGACCTGGATGGAAGACAGAGCACCTGTTTCTTACCTGGTGTGTCTGCCCCAGCGTCCGAGTCACAGACCGTATCATGTGTGGCATTGCAGGGCCGAATGACAGCACCAGCACATCTGAAAGAGGCAGGACTCCCTCAGCATTGCTCCTCCCTGTCTGGACACGGCCCGAATCATCCTTCTCACCACCCACAGGTCAGGGGTTAGGAGGAACCCCGGCTCCCAGGATGGCTGCCAGCCTTCACCTAGTCACTGCCCAGCATCTCCGCGATGTCTGGCCCAGATTGGTACACATAAGAGTAAAGCTCTGTCCTGTGCTCTGGGACCTGTGGGGTGGGGGACACCCGTTCCTGGACAGCATTGTATGTGCTGGGAGGACTGGCCCTCCTCACCTGTATCTCTAGCTCCCTCAGGAAAGAAGTTAGCCCAAAGCTGAAGCTCTTGGAAAGGTGGACGTGTGAGGGGAGACAGAGCAGCCAGAGCCTTGATCGAACCTCACCTGAAAGCACTACTGACCTTGGACTGGCAGGTCCAGGAAGCTACCGTTCAACACAGCCCGAGGCATGTTGGTTTACAACGTGCCTCACCAATGCCAGCTACACTTTTAGTGGCTCTGCCACCATCAACGTCCCCAGAAGGTCCTCCCACATCCGCGCCCACCCAGAACCTCGGAAGGGTGTCTGCAGAGATGCTCACATGACGGATAAGGTCACACCAGACTACGGTGGGCCTTCATCCGTGACCAGTGTCCTTGCAGCAGGGCAGCGTGTGCTGGGATAGAGAGAGGGCCACGTGAAGACAGACAGACACAAACACGCGAAGCCACCTCGTAAAGACAGAAGCGGGCCCAGCAGGTAAGCCAAGGAGCCCGAGGAGTGACAGCAACGTCGGAGGCTGGAAGAGGCAAGGCAGGGTCCTTCCCTAGAGTCTGCGGCAGGAGCATGGCCCTGCCGACCCCTGGGTTCAGACTTCTGGTCTCCGAAACTGTGAGAGAACACACTTCTGCTGGTTTTCTCACAGGCACCCAGCTGTGGCCCAGAGACGGCAACCACAGGCCACTCATGGTGCACGAGTGGTCACGCTGCTCTGTGCCCATTCCATCCGCGCAGACCTCTCTTCCCCCAGAACCCTCGGTGGCTCCCTCCTCCCCTCCCCTCCCTCTGCCCCTCTTGGAGGTTTCCACCCCTGCTGGGGGCTCAGGGTCCACCATACTGTAACTACGGGAGGGGCCTACACCCGTGCCCTCAGCACCTGCGACACCGGAGGCAATTCTCCACGCAGTTCAGTGAGTCGCAGTAGAAGCTCCCCGTCTTGCACTGACACTGCTGGTCGCTGGTCTGTGTGCAGGCTGCCACCACCTCCTGGTCTGTAGAAGGACGGTTGAGGGTCAGCCCGGGGGACAGGACCGTCTGGGCCATACAGGGCCGCGCGCAGTCCCACGGTGGAGGCCATGGAACCGATTCTCCCCTTCCCTTCCTAGCGGCGGCAGAGAGGGACCTGACAGCCAGACCTCAGCCCTCCATCCAGGCCGAGGGGCCGGGGCCACCTGCTCTGAAACCACCCCGTGGTTCCGATCATGTGTCCGCCCCACAGAGAAGAGCACCGCACTGCCAGAGACGCCGTGGGAGAGAAAGCCCAGACAGACAACGGTTCACAGAGAGACCCCCCACCAACTCCGGCAATACCCACCGCGGACGTGTTGACGACCACCCCCAGGTCCCTTCCGCAGGGCTTGACACCAAGAACAGCGTTTCGCGGACGGGTGGTAACAGAACAGAACCACACTGCCCGCTGGGGGTCACGTCCCATGCACAGGCAGGATCAGCCCTCCAAAGCCCATCCCCGCGCTTTCGTGCTTCCCGAAACCGGACGCGCTGGCCAGGGCACGAAATGGGCCGGAGCACGCCTGGATTCACAGATTTCCTTACAACATTCACATAAACGTTCTAGACATCCTCTGCTTGACTTACCTCAGAGGACCTTGCTTCCTCTGCTAGTGCAGACGGCGTCTTTTAAGGAATTACATCCTTTAAAACAACGTGCTGCTCACACAGAAAAGGAAACGTCTGTGTGTTTCTTGCACAGAGCGTGTCTACAGTCCCGATTCCCTGCAGGCTCACTCTTTAACCACATGTGCACGTCACCCCGTGTGTAAGAACACCAGTGACTGGTACCCCGGCAGCTCTCTCATCGAGCCTAATTCCGTCTGGGGCGGTACCAATAAGGCCAGGCGAGGCGGCGAGGTCTTCTGATGCAAAGATCCCTCTGGGCGGGATGGGGGCTCACTCACCTGCTCGACATGTAGTGCACGGTTGGCAGCTGGTCTGCCCGTTTTGGTAGGCGAGGAAGGTTCCGGGTTCACACTGGCTACACAGCGGAACACCATGGTTTGCACCACAGTGTCTGCTGACGTGAGAGCCTGGGAAGGCGGAGGACAGAGAGGTGAGGTAGGAGCCTCAGGGGGACCGGACCTGACCCCGGAGGCCTACTTGAGGACCAACCCCTGCCAACCATCTCCTTGAAACATTTTTTTTTTTTAAAGACTTTATTTATTTGACAGATAGAGATCCCAATTAGGCAGAGAGAGGGGGGTAGGCAGGCTCCCCGCTGAGCAGAGAGCCCGATGCGGGGCTCAATTCCAGGACCCTGAGACCATGACCTGAGCCGAAGGCACAGGCTTATTAACCCACTGAGCCACCCAGGCGCCCCCTCTTTGAAACATTCTTTATTGACACTTGGCCACACATGTCCCAGGAACTGGGGACCTGGTGCCCACGGCTTTCAGCGACATGTCGGAACATGTGTCAGCACACGGTTCTGAGCACACACACCAGAGGACCGAGAGCCCCACGTCTGAGGGTCCACCCCCGGCTCCCCGGGGTGGGCTGCACAGCGTCCAACTCATATACGGGGAACCCCGAGGTCTGGAGACAGAGATCTCTGACCAGTCCCAGAGGAGCCCCGGCTCTACGGCCTGCCTCGGGCAAAGGCTGTAGCTGTACCAAGCACACCTCGCTGGGAGAAGTGTGTCACACCTGCGTTTGGCTCAGGGGCTGAGTTCACAAGGTTTCCGGGTAAAGCACCTGTGTCTCCTTTGTGCCCACATGGGCTGTGCGTGTGTGCTGTGGGTGCAGGTGTGCACAGGTGCGGACACACACATGCATGGTGTATACACAGGTGTGCTGGGAGCATGTAGGGTGAGGGTCAAGCTGTGGATCTTCGGGACCCGAAGCAGGAGCCCTGCAGTGGCCGAGAGTGTGGGGGGGAGTGGGGGACACAGGTGGTGATGGGTAGAGGGATTGGTCACCCCCGTGAAGGGGGGATCCGTGAAGGAACTCTCACGGATCGTGTGTGCACATCTGTCTGCGAGTGGAGAGGAGGTACGTGGCATGGGGGCTGGGCAGAGCAGGCACTGCGGGCCTGGGGCCCCCACCTGACCCATGGGACTCATTCAGAGACTCCTCACAAAGGTGAATGAGCCTCCGTGGACGAGCTGTGCTTGACGACAGGCTCACTGCTGTCCCGTGAGGACCCCCTTCCTCAAGTGTCTGCAGTCACCCCACTGGGAGGGCGGCGGAGAGCATCCGGCTTGGCCATGCACCCCCACACTGTCCTCCACCCTCCTCAAGGTACCTCCCCGACAAAACAAGCCCACAACCCTGTTCACATGGGGTGGCCGATGGCCAAGGAGAGGTCCACCCACCTGAGCCAGTGCAGGTCTCCCCACCCAGTCTCCTGTGCCAGCCTCTGGCTCTGCTCCAAGAGCCCACAGCTTCCCTTCTCCAGCCTGGGAGGGCCGCCCCACAAGGCTCCAGAAGGTACCCTGGGACTCACCAGCGGGACACTTCTTGCAACACCACTCGAGACCGTCCGGCTTGTACTTGTCCAGGCCGCAGTCAGGCTCACCGCCCAGCAGGGGCACCTTCGATCAGAAAAGGAGATGGGGTCATCAGAGAAGCCGCCGTTGAAGATGGAGCCACACACACCATCTGGTGGGACAGGAGCAAGCGCACGGGGACAGCCCCTGCCAGCTCATGGGGGTCGGCGTGGCTGGGGGGAAACATCGTGGGAACTTCCTACGTATCCCCATAGTTTTGGACTTGGACCTGGAGCACTGTTACTCTGGGGGAAAACATTCTTTCGTTTCCCTACACAGGTGGCCTGGTCCACTGCTCCTACTGCTGCTGTCTAACCCCCTGGTCTGGCCAGAACTGAATCGTTTGGGACTAAGTATTTTTTTTTTTTTTTTAAATGATTTACTTCTTTACTTCAGACAGTGCAGGACCAGGGGGAGGGGGAGGAAAGGGAACGAGAACCCCAAGCAGACTGCCTGCTGAGTGCACAGCCCGACCTGGGGTTCGATCCCACGACTCGGAGATTGTGACCTGAGCAGAACCCAAGAGTTGGACGCTCGAAGGACTGAGCCGCCCCGGCGGCCCGAGGGATCCGCTCCTGTTTGAGTTCACGGGTGCAGCAGCTACGTGTGTGCGTGTCAGGAAAGGACAGCGGCCACCGCTTGGAACAGGGGATGCAGAGCGTGCACCTGCCCCGCGTGCATACACCGAAGCCCCCCGGACGTGGTCCCGTGACCGCCGTCCTCACTGCGCGCGCTGCTCGGGCTACTGCTGTGCGAGGTGCAGTCAGCCTCCCGCCAAGCGCGTGCGCCTGTAGATGTCACCGACTACGGCAGGGGCTGTGGTCTGTATGCTGAGCCCCACGGGGGGTGCGAGGGGCTTCACGAGTGCTGCAGGGACGCCAGGCACCCGGGCCGCCTGCTGAATTCCGGTTTGCCAGGCTGCCCGCTTGGCGACATTCACCTCTAACCCGAGGCAGCTAGTGGCGGCCGTTCCTGGCTCCAGTAAGCGGCAGGACTGTCTTGCCCGTTTGAGCCGACGGCACTCGGGCTGCGCCCGGGCGGGAAGAGCCTGCCACCACCTGCACTGTCCCCTCCCACCGGGCCGGCCGCCTCCCTCCAGGCGGGGATCCGCAAAGCCCGCCTCGCCACATTTTCCCTTCTTCGCCAGCCTGACTGCTCGGGAAGGAGTTCAGCCTGTTTGCAGGTGCAGCACAACCGACGCTGCTGGGTTTCCTCCTGCCACAGGATGCTGTGTTTTCAGTATCCCACTCTCTCTTACAGTCCTTTTTTCTTTCTTTTCCGGCTTTTGCTTCCTTTATTCCTTGTCTCCACTTCCCTTTTTTCTCAGGAAAACTGACGAGATCCCGTTTTTAGTTTTTATTGGTTTCCGTTACATCTTGACTTAGACAAAACAAAAAATGACAGGAGAATATCTGGGTGGGCTTAAGGAAGGAAATTCCACGCGAGTCCGACGACGACACACGCTTCGGGCGGCATCGAGCGGTGAGCGCACTCGCGGACGACAGCTCCCGAGAACATGCAGTGTTGGCGCAGTTCCGAGGGCAACGCCCCTCAAGACGCTGCTGACCACAGACGGAGAAAACACTAACTTCACTGAGGCCGACACCCCTGAATTGTCACCGGTCATCGTCATCACTGATGTGCGACTTTCGAGATGGTGCAGCTGGAAGGACACAAGGTCACTTCCACGGTACTCTTGCAAAAAACGCCAAACGCGAATTTACTCACAAAAAGCCAGTGACGAGCCCCAACTGGAGCCACATTCCACGGAACCACGGGTCAGTACTGTACAGGCATGTGGAGATCGTGGAAGAGAAGAAAGACTGACAACAGCGCAGCCCAAGGCGGGGTGGGACAGCAAGTGACCGGCAGGGTGTCGGGGACCCAAGGAAGGCACCTGCTTCCAAGTCTGCCCCTGGTTCTGAGAGTGCGGTGCAGGCACCGGCCTGCAGAGCCCTGCACAGGATGTGCCAGCGCCCAGTCTCTGCTGTTTTAGCTCCCTGGGCTTGGTGTTTTGCAGGGCAGGGGGGTCGCTTTTTCTTTGTTAGGGGCTCACATGCATGCCCCTCACGAGGAACCACTTGAAAGTGTACAGTACGGCGGCACCCAGCCCACCGACGCGGTCGCACAACCATCCAGACCATTTTGGTAACTTCAAAAGTCAAGCGCTGTCTCAAAATGAAACCTGAAAAAACCCTAGTAAAAAAGGAAAAAAACTCTCACGACAAGAGGAAAGTGGCTTTCCTTTCTGGAACTCAGCCTGGTCGAGAACATAATGGAGGCCATTTCCTTCTGTCCACCTGAGGCTCTCCAGCTCAGTCAGCAAGGGGACGCTCCAAGTGGCAAAGAACAGTAAAATAAGTCGTGTCCTGTCCCCTACCCACTCCTGGCTCAGGGCCACTGGCCTCCGCCCCACCCAGCCCCGCCCCCTCCAACACCCCAACTCTGCCCAGTGTCCAGTTCAGCCCAGTTCACCCCAGTTCAGCCCAGTGTCCGGCTCTGGGGATGCTGGAACACGGTGCCGCCAACCCCCAGCCAGGAGGAGAGCCGGTCTGGGAGGGTGGGTGGTCTCATCTGTACCCCCGTGGCATGCTGGGGACATGTCCTACCACAAGGGTGTGGAAAATGGAAGCCCACCCCACAAACTCAGCAACCGCGGTAAAACTACGTGACGCAGTATTTCTAAAGACTGCATCAGCAGATGGCTGCAAGCCTTTGTGAATACAGCTTTCCTGGAACCAGAGCTGGGACTCTAGCCCGGGAAGCGGGTGGGCAGGCTGGGACCAAGCACAGGGTCCCATTCTCTCTTTATCTGAAATGTCTGTACTTTGGCGTGCATTGCTTTTGCATGGATTTTCCTTCTTCGGATTTTTTTTTTTATTTTAAAAATTTTATTTATTCATTTGACAGAGATCACAAGCAGGCAGAGAGGCAGATGGGGGGTGGGGGGAAGCAGGCTCCCCGCTGAGCAGAGAGCCCGATGCGAGGCTCGATCCCAGGACCCTGAGATCATGAACTGAGCCGAAGACAGAGGTTCAACCCACTGAGCCACCCAGGCGCCCCAGATTTTCCTTTCTCAAAGAGACCACATCTGACTCTTCTTCAGTGCACGACCTGAGTTTTATGGGGACTCCATCAGTTTCCACCAGGCACGAGCACCCAGCTCACTGCCTCTGGCAGGCACCTCCCTTGCAGATGACTAAGGGTCCCTATGGTCCCACGGTGGCCCACCTACCAGCAGCAATGCCCCCACCCCGATGTGGCTCGCCCCAGCCCCGGGTCCCCCTGCTCCCCGCCCTCCCCTCAGGCCCCTGCCAGCAGCCCCCCAAGCTCCAAGTCCCCTCCGGCCCCTTCACTTCTGGGCCAAGATATCCCTAAGGAATTGCCATGCTGTTGGAGCCACAGCCATCCAGCACTCACAGACCCCAGCACTCGAGGGGGGAAGCCCTGAGGGGCCTGCAAGCGGCCAAACCCGTCAGGGAACCAGAACGTGCCCCCGCTCTCAAGTGAGCACCGCCCTCCCGGCAACCCCGGCCCCACGGAGTAGAAGGCCCTCCGAGGAGGGACCCTGCGGGAGTCACCAACCACCCCGCCTGCTTTGAAAAGGCCCCGGAAGGGGTCCTGAGAACCCTGAGCCCAGTGGCTGTGACGCAGCCACGCAGAAGGGAAGGGAGGCATTTGCCCTGCACCCTCCAAGGCAGGCCGGCGGGCTATTTCCAGAAGGCGCGGGTCCCTGGTCCTCCCAGCCCAGAAGCTTCAGCCTGTGTGACAAGAGGCTGACGGAAGAAGCGACCGGAGCAGGCGCCAAGCAACACACTCTGATACACGACCGCGTCTCGCGGACTCAAAGGCTCGCTGCCCCTGCACAGCACGGGAGACCATCGGCAGAAGGAGCGGCCGTCGCCCGCATGGGAGTAGACACTGGCGAGCCGTACGCCCAACCAGGACTCAACACCCAGAACGGACAGAGAGCTCGCACGGCGCCGTAGCAAAACACCAAAGTGCCGGTGAAAACACGGGCACAGGACCCGAGCAGACATTTTCCCGAAGGACGCAGATGGTCGTCAAACCTGTGAGAAGATGCTCGACGTCACTCGTCGTCAGGGAAACGCAAATCAAAACCGCAGTGACTGTCACCTGACACCCGTCAGAACAGCTGCACCAAAGAGACGACGTCGGCAGCGTCGGCGAGGATGCGGAGAAGAGGGACCCCCCACACTGTTGTGGGCATTCGGATGAGGGCAGCTCCTCTGGGGAACACTCTGGAGGTTCCTCACCAGACTAAACACAGAACCACCCTACGACCCAGCAATTCAACCTCTGGGTCGTCTGAGAAGACCCACGGACCCCCGTATTGCCGCGGCATCGTTCCCAACAGTCCCGACACAGAAGCAGCCAGAGTCCACAGGCGACAGACAAACACGCAGGGAACACGGGGTAGATGGACACGGGGCAATATTTGCCACAAAAACCAATGAAACTCACGATAAAAAGGAGAGAAAGAAAGGCTCTCTGGGTCAAGCTTTTCAGCGCATCCGAGCGGTCTCGCAAACATCACCGGACACACTTGACCAGACGGCACAAAGGGGCCCCCCATCCAGGAAGCTGCGAGCCACCAGCGTGGACGGCGAATATACGCGAGGACAGAGAAAACGACGAGCCGTCGGACCCGGGACACCTCGCTCCGAACTCGCTCCGGACCCAACGCGCTTGCGCACACCCGGCAAACGTGTGGGCAGAAGCAGGCAGCCCCGGGTGGGGGGCACGTCTAAGAAGGTGTCAGCTGCCAGCGCCCTCCAGGCAGGAAGACGCCAAGACGGGACTGAAGTCGGGAATTCCTCGAACAGCTCCCACTGGCACGCGGACCTCATCTACAAGAACCACAGGCCGGAGCGCCTGGCGGAAGCATTCCGTCCTCGAAGCATCCGACTCGGTTCTGGCTCAGGTCGGGGTCTCAGGTCCTGAGATCAAGCCCTGCGACGGGCTCTGCGCTCAGCTTGCGGAGTCTCCTGGAATTCCTTCCCCCCTGCTCTGGTCTGTCTCTCAATCAGGGGACCTGGGTGGCCCAGTTGGTGAAGCGGCAGCCGTCAGCTCAGGTCATGCTCCTGAGGTCCTGGGATGGAGCCCCACGCACTGGGCTCCCTGCTCCGCGGGGAGCCTGCTTCTCCCTCTCCCCCTGCTCCTCCCGTGCTGCACACGCTCTCTGATAAACAAAATCTTAAGAAATAAGTGAATGAGTAAATAAACTTTTTTGCAGAAATTAAAGGACTCTATGGAGGTTCCTCCAAGAGTTCCGCACAGAGCTACCCTATGACCCAGCAGCGGCACTACTATTTACCCAAAAGATACAAATGGAGTGATCCAAAGGGGCATCTGCGCCCAAGGTTTACAGCAGCAACGTCCACGATAGTGAGGCTACACAGAGAGCCCAGACGGCCATGGACAGACACAGGGACAGAGGTGATGTCCTACAGACAAAGGAAAATTACTCAGCCTTCAAAACGACAACAGAAACGAGAAATCTCGCCGTTTGCAGCAGCACAGATGGAGCTAGTGGACGTCGCGCTAAGTGGGGCGGGTCAGACAGGGAGACAGTGACCACAGGAGTCCATCCCGCGCGGAACCGAAGACACACAACAGAGCAGCGCGGGGGCAGGCAGGGGAAGAACACGAAGCCCGAAGCCCGAAGCCCGAGAGGGCGACCAGGGAGTGCAGGAGACAGACCGAGGCTTGCTGGAGCCGGGCGGGGGCGGCACCGCCCGCGGGCGGGAAGGAGCGCGGGCGGGAAGGGCCGCAATGAGCCAGCGACAGGGACCGCTGAGTCCCTGCCCTCTACCTCGGAACCAGGGATGCTCCAGAGGTCAGTGAACCGAATTTAAATAAAACGAAGAGAAATACAAGATAAGTGAGCGGAAACCACGTGCTAGAACCAGAAGAGACATCCTTTTCTGGGGAGAAAACCTGCGAGGCCGCGGCCACACGGCCTCCACGGCACTCTGGTAATCGCCGGGTGCGGGCTGCCGGGGTCTCCCGTCCGCGACCGCAGCGCCGGGCCCCACCGTGAGCGGGCTCGGGAGCGCGACTCCGGCAGGCCCCGGGGCCGGAGCTGAGCCGTCCGAGCGCCCCCGACTCGCGCAGCCGCCCTCCCCTCCCCGCGGCCCTCGTCCGAGAGTCCCGCATCCCCAAACCCGGCCGCAACCCCCAGCGCCGGCGGCAACCTCGCCGAGTCGCGGGCGCCCCCAGCCGCCGAGGACACCCGAGCGCCGGCAGCCGGGACACGCCTGAGGCACAAGGCCCGAGCCCGCCGGCCGCCGGACATCGGGCTCCGCGCGCGCCCTGCAGCGCCGCCCGAGCCCTCCCTGCCGCTTCCCCGCTCGCCGCGGGCATGCCCGGGCCCGCTGTCTCCGGGACCGCTGCCTGCGCCGCGGCCCGCCCGCCGCCTCCGGGGTCCCCAGCCGCACGGGCCACTCTATCCCGCCCCCACCCGGGCCCCCGACCTGCCCCGCCCCCACCCGGGCCCCCGACCTGCCCCGCCCCCACCCGGGCCCCGACCTGCCCCGCAGCCCCGCAGCGCTTACCGCGGCTCCGACAGACACCCACAGGACGACCAGACACGACACCGACGGGTGCGGAGCCGGCAGCGCGCGCACGGCCCCGCGGAGCGCTCCCATCCCGGCGGCCGCCGAACGCGCTCTGCCGCCCGCCGCTCCGGCCCCGGCTTTTAAAGGCTCGGGTAGGCGGGCTTCCGAGCGTCAGACCAGAATTCGCCCCCGCCCGGACTCGCCTTCCTATTGGTCGGCCCGGCGGGGGCGGGACACGCCCTTTCCTTTAAGGGCTGCGGCGTTGCCTACGTCATCTCCACGTGCCCGCCGTGGGGCCTCAGGCCAATCCCTAAGTCCGGAGGAGCTCCAGTCCGGGTCTTTCCCGGCGGGCCGCCTCCCCGCGCTGCCCCCCTCCCCCTCCTGCTGCCCCCTCTCCGCTCTGCCCCCTCCCCCCCACCGCGCCCTCGTGCGCGGGCGCGCACTCCCCGGAGAGGATGCGCGGGACGGAGGGAGCGGGCGAGGGCGGGACCCGGGAGTGCGCGGGGCTGGCTGTGGAGCGGGGCGGCGGCGCACCGCGCTCTCCGGGGCAGCCCCGCCGCAGACCGCCGGGGAGACCGCGCCGCGCGGCCAACAACCGCTTAGAAGTCGGGCGGGGCGGCCGAGGCCGGTGGGACGCGTCGTCCGACCCCCGCGTCTCGGGAGGGCCGTGGGGCCGTCGCCGCGGAGCCGAAGCCCAGCGCAGCCGGCGGGGTGCTGTCCCGCTCCCCCGCACGCCCCCAAGGCGCCCTCCCGCCGGGCCTGGCCACAGGGCTGGCTCCCCCGACGCCGCCCTCGCAGTCGCGCGGGTCCGCACCCCGCGCACGGCCGCCTCGGCGAAGCGAATCCGACCCGCCCCGACTCGAAAACTGCCTCCGCCGCGCCCAGTCCCGACCCTGTCCGGGCGGAGTCGGAGGGGACCCCCGAAGGACCTCGGGTTTGACCGCGGGGACCGGGACGGGACCGGCCTCCTCCGGGACAAGGACCCTGTGAGGACGAGCCGCCGCGGGCGAGGGGCGCCGCCGTTCCGCAGCTTCTGTTGTCCCGCACGTTCTGTCCCGCCTCGCCGTCGCGTCTCGCGCTCGCGGCACCGTACGGCGTCGGGCCCCTTTGAGGGAGGGGGCGGGATCGGAGCCGCGCGGCCCCAGCTCCGGAAGACCCGTCCCAGCAGATGGAGGGGACATTTGGACTCTTCCCACCCGCCGGCACGGTGGGCAGGTGCGGGCAGGCCTGTCCGAGAGCCCGGGGGACCCGCGGGACCAGCCCGACCGCGGGCAGGACTGAGATCCCACGCGAGCCGGCGGGAGGGAGCGGATTTACTGACGGTGTAGACGGCGGGTATAGGCTGCGGCCCAGGGGCCAGAAAGGAGAAGAGAGTCTCTTTGCTTGAACCAGAACACGGGCCCAGCGGTACTTCATAAAACAGCCCTTGCCTGGGGCCCAGGGGCCTTGGTGTGGAGCGTCCAGGGCTGGTGGTCTGCAATGCGCCTGCGATGGCTCCCCCGTTCCTCTCACCCAGTCCTTCCTTACTCGTTGCCCGTTGTGCTGGAAGCCTCTCGAGAAGTTGGGGGCTGCCTGTCCTCCCAGGGACGACAGACCCCATGTGCACTATGAGGCACCTGTAAAGTGGGGGTGTGTGTGTGTGTCAGGTCCCAGCAAAGGTAGAAGCAGGTAAAGGAGCAAACCCCAGATTCTTATGGAGTCCTGCAGGCGCCCCACCTCATGGTGCAGCCCGGGGCAGAGTGGGTGTCCCCAGACCACCACGGTTTCTGCTCTGCCGACCGCCGCCTGAGGATCCCGAGCTGTGGCCAACTGCCTTGTTCCTGCTCACCTTGAATTTGGCGTCCAACGGACTCCAGATTTAAAACCATCTCCCCAATCTCTGGGGGGGGGGGAGACAAACCGCAAACAGAAAGTGCTTTAAGTTCAGCCTTATCATCTAGCACACGGCTCTGGGTTTTCTTGGTTTTGGCACTTTTTGACAAATCTTAGAAACCGGCTGACTGTACCTTGGGTTCCAAGAACCGTAGAGACGGTTTAAGGCGACGAGAAACGGCTAGATCAAGGCAAGAGCAGGACTGCATGGGGAATGGGAGGCACAGCTCCGACCCCCGTCACCTGAGAGTATCGCAGCAGTGTCTACACACCCAGGTTAACCCAAGGGACCCAGATACCATGCCCAACTTTGTGCTGTTTCCAAGGGCCACGTGACCCCCTTGTAACCGCCCATCTGGGTTGGACCAGCTGCTCCCATGGAGTCCCGTCCACCCGTCCACCCGTCCACCCGTCCACCTTTCACTGGTTGGTTTAGCGCAACGTCAGCACACCAAGGCCACAGGCCAACTCTGGAGGGAATTCTGAGGCTGCCGTGGGGTGTGGCGGCAAAGCTTATGAGTCAGGCCACACATGGGGGGGTCGGAAGAGGAAGTGGCCACGGGCTTCCTCTCTGGAGCGGCCAGCCCTGGTAAGGAGTCGTGGAAAACTATGACCTCTGGGGCACCTGACCTCAGCAGTGGGTGACCTCTACGTGGGGATCCAAAGCCAGTCTGGGGGCACCGCCCTTGGGGAGTGATCCAGTTCCTGGGGTCCCCTCTGACCAAGGCAGCCACAGGGTCTGGAGAGGCATCACCCACCTGCCCCTCCCTCTCCCCAGCCCAAGCCCCACCCTGTCCTGGAGCCGGGGGCCTGAGGGAGGGTGCCCGCATGCTGCCCCCCATTCTTCCCTGGATCCTTCCTCCCCACCCTCGGGGCCTCAGGATCCGCCGGCTTGGCTTCTGTCCATGGGAACACCCCCCACATTTCCGGAAGTCCCCCAGGAAGACAACACAGCGTGCGCAGTTTACTTCCGGGCCAGGAGGGCAGGCGGGGGACAGGAACGTGGATACAAACTCTGGAGAATGGGACGGTGGGTCCTGATGGCACCTCCCCCACAGAGTTGAAGGCTCAGTGTGACTACACGTAGGCTCACAGATGCTCACGGGCACGCACAGTGGCACTCGACAAAATAGGTGAGACGCCAGGCGCTGCTTGTGGCCTGCCTAAAATATTGCAATTGCCTTTATTAAAAAAGTGTAAAACAGGAAGACCGTGCATCAGTCCCAGCCAAGTGGCCGACCTGGGCTTCCCTGCCCCAGGGAATGCTGCGGCCTGAGAGGCCGTGCCCTGTGCACGCCTGCCCACACACGCACACCTGTGCCGGCTCATGCCCAGGCTGTGCGAGGCGGGGTGGGCTCCACGGGTTTGCATCGTGGGGGTCCTGTCCACTCCGCACAGAAGCAGAGAAAAATCCCAGTGCTGTCTCCGGAGTAGCTCCAGTCTGCCCGGGAGTCCCCGGGAGGCCCCTCTGAGCACGCCCTGGGCAGCGCAGGCAGGCTCTCAGGAAGGACGGCCCTCTGCATCCGGACGGAGGAGGCGTGGGAACCTCTGGGACTCCAGGCTGGTCCCGCCAAAGCTCCCCAGCTCATCCCTGCTGGGGGGTGACCGTGCAAAGCCTGGGCAGTCCGTCCACGCCCGGCTCCGTCACTCCGGCGGGGCATGTGGACACTGGACCAGGATGGAGCAGGCATGTTGACCGGGGGCGAGAGGCGAGATGAAAGCTGCATTTGGCTTTAGCGTTAAGGCTGGCATTGGGTGGAGGGTCCCACCGGCAAGGTCAGCGGCTCCTCTGGAGGAGCCGGTGTGGCCCTCCAGGTGCCTCCTGCTGTCCTCCAGGCCCCGTGGGCCTCTCTGTCCACCGGGGCCACGCTTGACGGCTCTTTCTGCCTCTCCCGGGCTGGCTGAAAGTGCTAGGTGCCTGGAAGGGAGGAGGGGGCTGGCCGAGTTCTGCAGGCCACGCCCACACTGCCCCCAAAGGGCTCTTATTTGAGGATGTAATTAATGAGCAGCTGACAGGCCAGGAAGACGCAGAGCAGGAACCAGGAGCGGGGGCTCTGCAGGAGGCCTGGGGCCGGCACCTGCCTGGCCCTCCCTGTGGAGCTCAGCATGGCTGAGAGGTGCCTGCAAGGACAGGGAGGAAGGTGGCTGAGCCAGGGCGGGCCCACGCAGGGCAGGCATCCCTGCCTTCAGTGGACAGCCCATTACACTGGGGCCCCCCGGCCCAGATTCCAGGTAAAGGGAGTCACAGCTGCAGAAGCTGGGACTCTCACAGCCTCTCTTCCACTCCTGCTGTGACAGGCTGAGCTGGGTCGCCATGCCCCAAAAGTCCCATGCTGGAGTCCCAGCCGTCAGGACCCCGATGTGACTTATTTGAAGATGGGGTCTTTCAAGAAGCAATTCAATTAAATTGAGGTCACCAGAGTGGGCCCTAATCCAGCATGGCCGGGGTCCTTATGAGAAGAGGGGATCAGGACAGACACACATGCAGGACAGACACACATGCAGGGATGACCCCGTGAGGACACAGGGAGAGCACGGCCCTCCGCACACAAGGACAGAGGCCTCTGGAGAATCTGGCCCTGCCCCGGCCTACATCTCCGGTGTCGGTCTCTGGGACTGGGGGACCGTGAACATTTATCGTGAGATCCCCCATCTGTGGACGGTGTCACAGCCACCTGGGACACTCATGTTCTCACCCTGGACTCGGGTGGCACCGTGTGTGCAGAAAGGCTGGCTTTTCCCGTGGCTCCCTCACGGCCCCACGTCCGGTGTCCTCTGTGGTGCCGGGGGGCTGACTCCCTGACTCACCGCGGCTCCTCCAGCCCACCCCTGGACTCCTGGGCCTCCAGCCGTGTTTTCTTGCACAGAGCTCATTGGCTGGTCCTGTTCCAGCAGGATCCCCTACAGCGTGGCACCTCCCACCCCCACCCCCAGGGCCTGCTCAGGGCAGAGCTGGCCGCCTTCTTCCTGTCCTCCATCCACCAGACCCTCTGCCAACCCCCAGAGTCCTAGCTCTGAGTGACAGTCCAGATGTATGGTATCCCTGGCCTCAGTGGCGCCCTGGCTGTGTCCCCGGGAGCGGGGCTTACCTGTGCAGCTCCTGCTGGGCCTCCCGGATGGACACGATGGCCTCGTGCAGTGCCTGCAGCCGCCGCGCCTCCTTCCCGCACCGCGGGCACGGGCTCTCGCTGCCTGTGGTGTCCAGCCACCCGTCACCG